GGGGGGGTCAAGGTCGAATACAACATCCGCCCACCTCTCACCTGATTGGCTAGGTCATTTCTGTCAAATTACGGAAACTGCCGAAGGGAGTAGTCTTTTAGTTTTCTGGAGAACGGAATAGAAAACGGGAGAGATTTGAAAATTATTGAAGATTATATAGAGTAAATAAAATAGAAGTGTGTTAATGATATTTATACATCAACATTAGATGAAATGTTATCAATTGTCTATATAGAGCTTTTGTGTGACTGAGGTTCAATTCGACCTGTGTGAGGCATGAAAAAAATACACAAAATATGAACTCCGCAAATAAGATGTTTTTCTGATTAAGAGTTAGTTACGATTATTGACTTTCATTGTTGTTGAGCGATAGACCTCCTATTAATCCAATACAAAGCTTGTCATGGCAACCTCGCTCAATCGGAGAGGTCAGTGACTGAGCATCATGTCATTTTAGATTATATATATAGTGTATGCATTCGTGCGGAACCTCATTTCTTCATATGTGAAACGTAAACCACCAAGACTAAATGTATTATCATGTACGAAGAACATGCACCATTACACTTGAAAAGAAATTTATTGGATCCCTACTATTCATTTGCTATATATATATCACATGAAGTATAAATTTGATTTCAAAAACAACATTTTCTTTTTAAAATTCCTGGAACATATCGAATCGACCCTGGTGTTTCATGCTTTGTTTTTACTAATCAATAAATCTCATTAAAAGCCTGCTAAAATTAACTAGTTTTGTTACCTAGTAATATTCTATCAACTATCGATAGCTTAATGTATCTTTCACACTTGCAGGAACATTTCAATTACTTTGTTAATTTTAAGTAATGAAACAGATAGAGGTCATATAACTTACTTCCGTTGGAGATCAAATAACATAAATGTCCACCGATGTCAATGTCCACACGACATTAAGGTAAACTCAACAGCAAATTTTATGTCAACCATGACGAATACACTTTCACCGTCATTAATGAAAACTTAACAGTGTCTCGGCATTGTAGCTTCGCTTAAACAGCAAGACGATACAAAAGTTTCAACAAAAAACCGCTATTCGACAGATAAACAAAACACGAAATGTCATTGCACCTATAACATTTAGTAATTGATTCAGTGGACAAAAATAGAAGGGGAACTGGCTTATTTAAAATTAATAATTAATAAAGAGTTTATATTTTGAACCCTGTCACTACTCAAAAGAGATAATTGTGCCTATTAAGGTTACACTGCATCAAACAGCTGTTTCGTTCCTCTACGACTAATAAGTGATGTTGGGGGCCTAAAAAGGAGGAAAATTCAAACTGGTCTTAACGACTGTTAAATATAACGGAACATGCATAAAGCTTCTTAAAAAGAAGGGGGATACTTGTTGATTTCATATGAATAATGAATAAATTGAAAATAATCTGAACCCTGCTACTACTCAAAATAGATAAGCATGACCTTTGGTTACCTCGGAAACCCAGCAATCCACCAGGGGAGGCTTCCATCCTTTATCTTGAAAGATTAACATAAAACACATTTGTGATTGCAACTATGACATTAAATAATAGATACAGTATGCTAAAATGAATTGTACTGCACTATAGAGCTGTCACCTTATTCTAAGACCCATAGGTTAACACTGTTTAGACTAAGGCAACCTATGAGCAAATGTACATGTAAGATTTATATGGAAACCATTTTGGGAATAGTCTTTTGGAATAGTAAGCGTCCCTGCAGGTAGGGCGTAAGAATTGTACCTGCTGCCCCAATTGCATGATCGTAAGAGGCGACTTAATTTGGGATCTTATCTTTTTAAACAACTTTCTTCTTCCTAATGTCTCCCTTGACAATGCCACACTTTGGCCTATAGTTGAGCGTTCGTCCCTGTGAGGAAGGCGTTGGGTTCTGTCCCCCTGGCCGAGACATAACAGAGTCTGTAAGAATGGAAGTTTCTACTCCTGCTTAACGCTCAGCAATTGAGGAGTGGGACGACTGGCTCGCCCGTTGTCAGTATAATGTGACCGGGTTGGATGTCCTGATGGGTGTCGTCGACAGTATGTTTCAGTGCGGTAGCACTATAAAATCGGCATCAGTTCCGCGCTATCACAAGGAGACAAACACGAACATATCGCAGCCTCCCAAAAAACACAGGCATACACTACACGCATGCATATTGCACACAGGGAAGGCCGTCCTTAAATGACCATAGCTGTTTAAAGGACGTAAAACAGTACCAAAACCAAACCAAACATTCTTCTGCTTCATCGACGACCATGTAAATATACATCGAATCCGAGTAATGTTATGTCATTAAAGTGCAAATAAGGTAGCGATAACGAAACAACACAGCACTATGACTATTTTTTTCCCTTCGAATTTGTAACAATCTTTCTTATTGGATATCTTGCCTGGGTCTATGTTTCTATAGACCCCGCGCTCTACCGGGGTCTATAAAAGCACGTGCGAGGGGAGATAACTCAAACTAAAATCACTCTTCATAACCACAAAGATGGCGTCCGACACACACAAGCGTTCGAGGTTTGGAAATCATTAACAGGATGAAATAGACTACACGCAATCTAAAACGATAGCAAATTCAATGAAACAGGTGTNGGGGGGGGGGGGGGGCGCTAGAGTGCTTTTTGGCTCGGGGCCGTAGACCCCTCCTTTCCGAGAGATAACTAATAATGCATTTATGTTGAAGAAAATTTACAGTTTTTGATATGACCTGATTTCTAACAATGCGACCTCGCCTCCTACCATAAGTAAACACTTTCATAGATTTGATAGAGACGCAATTACTCGTGTCACGCAATGTTTTTTGGTTTGATTATCAGTTCGGATATTGACCTTGTTGATTGATGTTCCTTATTACTGTTTAAGTGTAAATTCAAGAGTACACGTAATGCGGGTATTTCATTTGACAAATTCATTGGTACACTATATTTTACATAAACAAAATTGTTTTTGATGAATACGGATCATTTGGTTTGGTTTTGTTTAGTATTGTTTAACGTCCTATCAATAGCTATGGTCATTTAAGGACAGCCTCCCCTGTGTGCAAGATGCATGCGTGTAGTGTATACGTGTGTGTTTTGGGAGGCTGCGATATGTTCGTGTTTGTCTCTTTGTGAGAGTGCGGAACTGATGCCGACTTTATAGTGCTACTGTATTGAAACATACTGTCGAAGACACCCAGCAGGACATCCAACCCGGTCACATTATACTGACAACGGGCGAACCAGTCGTCCCACTCCTCAATTGCTGAGCGTTAAGCAGGAGTAGAAACTTCCATTCTTACAGACTCTGTTATGTCTCGGCCAGGGGAGAGAACCCAACGCCTTCCTCACAGGGGTGAACGCTCAACTAAAGTGAGGCATTGTCAAGGGAGACATTAGGAAGACGAAAGGTGTTTAGAAAGAAGAGAAAATATAAAATCCCAAATTTAGTCGCCTCTTACGATCATGCCATGGGGGCAGCAGGTACAATTCTTACGCCCTTCCTGCAGGGACAAATACGGATCATACTTTAATATTTTAGTTTCCCTGTCCCACCGAAGGCAGTACACTTGATAACTTTACTATTGTTTTCCGTGCATTTACCGCTGATTAGATGTTATGTTATTATTGGGGGTCAAGATCAATCGTTCGATTTGGTCTCGCCCGATTGCATTTCCAATCTTAGAACAATGTTTTGATGATTTCTTTTAACTCTATTTTCTTCTCTTTTTTTACTTTTTATTAAAATAGATTTTTTCAATATATCATTTTTTTTTAAATTCATTTTTTTTTTTACAAAAGTTTGCAATGTATAAGTTTTTTCCGGATTTTTTTTTTTTTTAATTCTCATGCTGATTTAGTTTTTGGTAGTTGATGCAACATCAGATTAACCCTTTGCTAATATGTTATATTATTTCGTTCATTATATTTAACTCAGTATTAAGGTATGCAATAAATTGCGTGCTTTAAAATAAGTTATTACTGTAAGACTTTTCATGTCAGACTTCATTTATCGTAGGAGGCGACTTATGTGGGAAACCCCTACAGAATTGGAGATTTGCTTTGGTGTCCTCTTTTTGAGGACACAAAGGCGACCAAAATAAATCTGCTGCGCCCCCATTGCAATATTTGGGATCTTTATCCTATTTCAATTTCTAACTACCTTTTAGTTCTTGGCACCTTGCTTGACATCACCTCACTTTTGGCTTGGATGTTAAGCGCGCCCAGGTGAGGAAGGTCATGGATTCTGTCCCTAGGCCGGGACATACCAAAGTCCTAAACAATTGTTGTTCCCTGCTCAACGTTCAGCATTAAGGAACTGATTCAACCATTGTCAGTATAATGTGATTGGGTGGGGTGTCCTGTATGGTGACTTCGGCATGGCATTTCTGTGAGATAGCACTATAAAGTTGCCATCAGATCCGCGCTATCACAAGGTGTCAAACACATCAACATGCTTTGCCTCCTGCATACACTCACGCATACACTAAGCTGCCTAAGATGCATTCGTGTAGTGTGTGCGTGTGTTTTGGAAGGCTTCGGTATGTCCGTGTTTGTCTCCTTGTGATAGCGCGGAACTGATGCCGACTTGATGTCCAAATCATTTTAACTTTAGAAGCAAACTCGGACTGAGCATTTGGTTTAGCTAGTATAAGACCCCGAAGTGGGCGATGTCGCCGATTGTTGGCCGATATTGGTTAAATATTATCAGGTCATGCATGCCGAAAACTGGAATATAAATTGTTGCAAACTGATGTTTTAAAGCGGTAAATTATATAATATTGCATATGTTACCGTCTTGGCATAAATCTAATTCATGAATATTGTGAAATTAATGTAAACCCTTACATTCGTTTTTGGTTCAATATTCCTTTTATTTACAATTTCCATCGTTTTTATTAAAAAAAATATGCAGATTTTGTTATAATATTCAACGACAAAATATCAATGTACATATTCGCAGCATTATTCATCCCAACAGGCACATTCGCTTATTCACATGAATACAAACAAAACACTATATAAAATACTTGACTGATTGGGTACACTTTGGCTTAGTAAGTTGTTGTCAGCGGTTTAGAGTGGAAACACTGGTCATTTGCACACTTTACTTGACAAAGGAAACAGACGATTTCGAAAGCTCGCAAATTTAAGCTTTCAATAACTGTTTTCGTTCCAAACAACTTAGCATTTATTATTCATACCGAACTGATGAATTTTATACCAAAAAACATGTTATATGATATTAGAAAGCGGCTTGACAATAAAACTAAACTTAATAATAATTGGCAATTATTTTCTGACATTCCCATTGGATTTACCGTAAGACTAGAACTACAGATATGTTTAGTTGTTCAACCAAGTAGTAAATTGAATTCTTTTTTAATTGCCCTGGGACCACCATTTACACAATTTTTGTGCGATTATCTATTATTACGACGTGATTTTTTCTGTTAATGAATAAGATCACTTCATTTAAATTATCCAATCGTGTGATTGTATTGACTTAGATACAATATTACATTTGACTGTTTGTATTCGTTGTTCTAAAGCCAATTTTACATTTGCATTTTTTTCTGCAATCTTAATCTTAATGTATGTCATTAACGGAACGCTGATGATGGTTATTTATCTGTTATTGACTTTTGTTAAGGTGAATATGTGGTTAAATGGACCTTGTAAAGTGATATTGACCGAGACGAAGTCCGGGACAATTGAACAAAATATTAACTGGAATAAAAGTCATAAGTTGTTATATTAGATGTGTGAAGTCATGTCGTTTTATTGTTAAACATCACGGAACGTATTTTTTTTTTTAAAGGTACTGCACTTGGTTGATAGCAAGATGGCTGTTATTCCCTACTTATCGTTCAGCATTTAGGTTTTTCGCAACAACTGATGCACCCGTTGTCGGTATCATGTGACCGGTTTGAATACTTTGCTGGGTGCATTTGGTATGGTATTTCACTGAGGTAGCACTCTATAGTTGGCATCAGATCCACGCTATCGCAACGAGGTAAACACAAGAAACATACCCTGCCTCAAGTAAATGTACACACAAGCATGCATACATTTCACACATGGAGGCATGTCCCTAAATGACTGTCCCTGCAGATAGGGCGTAAGAATTATACCTGCTGCCCCAATTTCATGATCGTAAGAAGCAACTAAATTTGGGATTTTATCTTTTCTCTTCTTTTTAAACAACTTTCTTCTTCCTAATGTCTCCCTTGACAATGCATCGCCTTTGTCCTTTAGTTGAGCGTTCGCCCCTTTGAGGAAGGCTTTGGGTTCTGTTCCCTGTCCGAGTCTTTAAAAATGGTAGTTTTTACTCCTGCTTTACGCTCAGCAATTTAGGAGTGAGACGACTAGTTCGCCCGTTTTCAGTATAATGTGACCGGGCTGGGTGTCCTGCTTGGTGGCTTCGGCAGTATGTTTCAGTGAGGCAGCACTATAAAGTCGGCATCAGTTCCACGCAAGCATGCATCTTGCACACGGGGGAGACCGTCCATAAATTACCATAGCTATTGATAGGACGTTAAACAATACTAAATCAAACCAAACCAATCCTTAAATGACCTGTCTGTTAATAGGACGTTAAACAATATACAAACAAAGCAATCCATGTATATCTAACAAAACCAAATAGTAAATCTATAATTCATATTTCAATCTCATTAATATAAACTTTTCTTATATTGAAATAATCATTACTTTCATAGTGAACAACCTTTACTTAATACTTAATGGATAATGTAATGAAATTTCTCTTGAACAATTTGTTGTGGAAATAGTCATCAGAATGAATCCATCTAAACATGTGTTATTGGTTTGTATAGGGCTGGTCAGCTGCAGTGACGTCACCTGTTCCGGGATACACGAGATTACCCCAAACACGGGGTCAACGTTCATGGTTTATTGTGATGTCAACACAACAGGAGGACCCTGGACTGTATGTATTCTGTGTGACAAGTTGTATTGCTCTGCCATTGTATAGGGTAGAGGATATATAGTTTTACCCAGGTTAGTCCCATTCAAACGCGTCCCGTCCTGAATCAGTGATCACTTATGCGGTATCATTTGATAACAAATTTTATAAACAGTTTATACAAAATTAAATTATATAAATACCTTAGATGTTTCGGGTTTTTTTAGAATTTCATGATAAGGGCGAATGTCAATGTTGCTATATTTTAAAAACCACCCAACTGAGTTATCAGTCAAGCGACTATATTTTGTAGCAAAATTTGAAAATAAACTGTATACACAAATCGATAACGAGACTATCTCATAACAGAGGAGATCGTGAATTGTATAAAGGTTACCAAGGTCAAGGCTGAGGTCACCATTAATATTTATGAATATGTCAACCAACGCATTATCATCAGTCTAGCATGTTTATCGTTGATGGGTGCTGATCATTCCAGATAGTTCTTGAGTTTTTCATGGCGATTGAGGAATTGATTTATTACAAACATTTAAGGTTTCTAAGCAGACATCACTAATGTGATAGCTTTTCACCTGTGTGTGTGCTACGTTCTTTTTTCGAGATACAATGTGGTAGATATAAGTGGTGGACAATTTATTGTTGTGTAACGTTAATGCCCTCAATATCTTTTCAGAGTAGTGGCAAGGTCTATACTAAGCATACTTTACACATTATGCTATTAGAACTTAACCAGTACTTCTTAAAATCAAATTTTAAAAAAAGGTTTTAACGCATCTCCTCGTTTGTTTCAACATTAGTGAGGATTAATTTGGATTTTTAACTTTTGGGTTTCTAGCATCACCGATGAGTTACAGAAGGAAGAAATCGCTGTATGATGCGGTGTAACTCATGTTTGACATACTGTGTCGATTACCTAATGTTTACATAGCAACCACCTGTGTGCGTGTTACGTTCTGCCCTTAATATAATCAATAAAAACATTGTGTAAGGCGTAATGTTGCTACAGTAGTTTAAGTACTCTATCGATTAAGCCAACGTTAATGTCTTGTATATCCAATGTTAATTATCATATTGAATGGTGAATCGTTTTATGATGTAAAATTAATTGCATTATCAGAACTAACACGGATGTTTCATAGAAACGTTTTTGATATTCATTTAACACGATCTGGGTAAGTAGACCTTTAAAACTATCGCAAATATAACAGAACATTACCGTATTTTTTTGTCGTAATAAAGACATAATTACAGAAAATATCAAGTACCAGCTTTGAAGTATAGAAATCGTCGAACGTGTATTGTGGATTTTCTTTCTACTCAAATTATAGTTGCATTTGAAAGGCAAGCATTGACGTGTTTGAGAAATAGAACAGTTTTGATTCCCCAACATTACACTACATTGTTACAAAAATAAATCAATGCTAGGAGTTCGTCATATTTTCAGCCGTAGACAAAAGCAAGGTTTACATGAATTTGTGTTGATTGTTAAGCAAACATATTTCAGACTTAACAAACTGTGCACCGGACAACAACTGTGGTATTGGTAAATACGTTACTATTTTGATCATAGGATTTAACTAACGCCAATAACTAACGTTAGGGTACCCAAACAGTAACACGTTTCATAGATACAATGCAGCATTTTTATTTTGCAATTCAGGTAAATGGTATATATTCTTTATCAAAATTGATTTAATTCTAAACTAGTTTTTGTCTACTTTGCTCCTTCATGTTTTTTTCATTAACTAAAATACAAATGGAAATTAATTAATTAATTAAAAAGTATTCTCACGGTACGACAATATAAATATCCTTTAACATTTTTAAAAATAGAAACTATTTTCAATGCATTTTGTTATATTCATAATTTGACAATCATAATGAGGTGTTCAATTTTTGGTTATCCCACCTGCTAAATTGTCGAAGTGAATAGGCCTTATTCATGGACATGGTGCTGATATCTAAAACTTCCATACATAAAATTAAAGCGAAATGCATATATATTTTCATTATAGTACAAAGCTTGGTTTGGGTGTGCTTTATGCCCTTTTAACAGCTATGGTCATGTAAGGATATGCCCATTTTTGGATGTGGTTGGGAAACCGGAGTACCTGGAAATCCATCGACCTGCGGAAAGTATCCGGTGACTGTCCAACGTAGGACTCGAAACCGCGACCCAGTGGTGAATGTCTAGTGATCGTAGATGGCCAGACGCCTTAACCAATCGGACACTGCAGACACTTCCGTTAATAAAAAAGAATGTTCATGTAACTTAATTGCAATAAAAAAAAATCTTGAGAAATGTTTACCCTCTTTTAAAGAAGTTTTTGTGATCTTTTGAATGATATCTAAAAACAGACTTGGATGTCTGAAGACACTATTCAGATGTGAAATTACAAATTATAGACATTAGAGCGAGATAATTTTTAGAGTATAGCTTGAACACAATTTTGCTATCGATGAACTGTGTTCGCTTAAACAGTTAATCAGGATGGTCGGGTGGCGCAATGGATAACGCACTCGTCTTTCACCAAAGCGGCTTCGGTTCGATTAAGCCTGCCCGACCACGTGGGTTGTATCTAGGTACTCCGGTTTCCTCTCACATCAAGACCATCCGCGCGCTAACATTCGGCCAATAAGAGGGATTTATATAAGTTGTAATAACTTGTACTACAATTGTTGTCGATCTAATAAAATGAAGGTCTTATATCTTTATAACAATTATTCTCACATGTCTCTTATAACTAAAGCATTTATTACACATGTTGTTTGTAGATGTAGAAAACCAAAATCAAAATCACATTTTACTGACCATATGGTTAATTCCTCAACAGTGTCTATATCAAATAATATTGATCAAATTGATGGGGTTTTTACCCACTCATATGTTGCAGGTAATACAGAACAGGCAAGTCGATGATGTAGACTTTAATCGGAACTGGAACGAATACAAGAACGGTTTCGGTAATTTAGAAGGTGACTTTTGGTTAGGTGAGTAAAAAAGGCTGGTCAAGAATTCTACAAAGTTTGAGGGCCGATTGCAATTCTTAAAGAAAAAATAATCAAATTATTTCGGACCTCTCAGTTAGGTCTTAAAATTACTGTTTAATGAAATATTGCTTTTAACGTACTGATCGCACTAGTCTTAATAAGATTCATAGTGCAGTTATCACTTGCAATGATTTCGTTATTTATTATAGTTATAATATCTGATATGTCCTGGCGCCAAATAGAACGGAAATTATCACATTTTTAATAAATAGAGATGGGGAAACCGGAACTCAATGTCTGCACACAAAAAAAGAACAACTAATTTGATTTAACATCAAATCAAACGGAAAACATTATGATTAAACCCCCAAATTATATATAGGTGAAACCAGGTATTTTGTAAAGTCAATCCTGAATCACATGTGGTTCCCATCATGGCTGTATCCTGTTAAGTCTAGGAAAATGTAAAGGTCACCAAAGTTTTGAGATACAGTGTACAGGTCTAATCAGTGTAGCTACTAGTACAAATTTGGAAATGAGGTCAACAATGAACATTTCGATACCGTTTATTAAAGGCCATTTGGTAGGTAACTCTAACAACAACAGACTCTGGAGAAGCGCATCAGGTATGATATACAATTGCTCATCCTCGAAATGCCAGGGGTTTTGCTCAATTACGTTCACTGGCCCTCTGGAAGATGTTATTGGTTCTGTTAGCGCCACCTTGTGGATGATATAACTGGACTAGTTTGAACATTTGAATGTACTTTGCACCTCTGGAACATGAAATGAGGTTCTGTGCGCGCTACCTTGTTGATGATGAAACTGGTCAAATTCAACTTTAAATGTACATCAAAGCATCGTGCGGCAGCTAGCTGGTAAAACGACTTGCTTTTAAAGCCGGGTGATGCTGCTCTGTAAACTTCAATGGAGAGGTATCAGCCTAGCAATTGGTTAGCTTTTTTGCCTGAAACCAATCGAATAGCTAATCGAGTGTCTTGGAATTTGTCAGTATTGCAGAGAACATAAGTAACCCCTTGGACTTTGAGGATGGCAATTCCCGTAGGTAGGGAAGGCTGGAGGAAAGGAAATTTACTCTCCGATATTAACCATGTTAACTGCTGTTCTTACTCAGACGACGAAATGTTCATCAACAACAAACTCACTCCATATAGACACCTAATTTAAAATAAAAACAAAATAATATGGATAATAAAAACTTTGAATGTTAAACAAATGGTGTTTGAAAAACAAGCATTTGGATTGCCATTCGTTACGAGAAAGATTTCCTCTTAAACCGTGCTTTATTCATCGCTTAAAAACTAAAACATTGTTGATAATGTTGTGCATAATCTTTGTACAAACAAACCATAATTCGATCTAAAAATCGATAAACTAGGGCACAAAATGAACAAGGAAACATTAACATGAAAAAGGACAGGGCAAATAAAACAATATGTTCCAGAAGGGTAAGCGTCTATTGTTTTATCGACGACCTTTTTATGTAAATCTAGGTTAAATTCAATTACTAGCACACCCTCATAGCGAAAACAGGGGTAATGCAAACAAAACAGGACAAAGTATTTGATAAAAGACCGTCGACCTTCACATCAAACAAAACTATTTATATCATAATTTTAAGCACATATCGTCTTATTACTCCACAGGAAATGAAAACATATATCAACTGACGCTGACTCCGTGTATGTTACGAGTCGAGTTAGAAGACTGGGCAGGTAACAAGAGGTATGCTGAATACACATCCTTCAAAATTGCGAACGAAGCCAACAACTACAGACTACAAATTAGTGGATATTCTGGGGATGTTTGTAAGTTGAGAATTACGTTTTCGTTTAAATAATAAAATTGAAGGCAAAAAGGCAAGATTCATTGAAATATTTACACTACATATGGTACATTGATATGTCGCTCGATCAAGTCTCAAACATGCGGAAAGACAAGCTAGTCCGAGGGGGTTTGGATAAAAAGTATTTTTTTATATTTGCTTCATTTTTTTTTTTTTTTCACCGAAGAAACGAAATCATTCCAATGTTACAAAACATGGGTCTCTGGGTCTTATACAGTTGAGGGAGGGGGATACTATCTTTTATTTGACATCATATAATGTTAGGGTTTTTCTTCCAGCAACTTGAACTGAGTTCCCTCTTTATTTCGTCTTTCTGGTGATTATTTCACGTAACAAGGTAGCGGACTTTGCTGGTGGACTCTCAGTCCCCGAGTGGCAGTAACCTTGTAGCTTGAAATGAAATGTATTCCAGCAAGGTTCATAAAAAATACTGTTCTAATGATAACATTTCTCTTTTTGCCAATGGTTGTACATTTGCAACGTTATTTAAGGTTTCACAGGCACCTTTCTCTTTTAGCTGAATATCTGCATATGTTTTGGAACTCTTTAAAATTGGCCTTTTTTCCTTTGACTTAAATACCACTTATGAGTCGCACATTCAAAATTGCCAAATGATACAGTTAAATGTCTTCTTTGCTTGGCCTTCTGCACTGAAGAATTATATTTTAAATACATGCTTCCATACACTGTATTTGTCGTGATTATTTTAGACTCTCAACGACGTCTGTAAAAAGAAAACAAGACAGAAAAATTGATAACAAATATTGTTTTTCCCTTCTCATAAGCTTAAGGAAATGTGTATAGAATGTTATCGTCTTGGAAGTGTTAAAGCCTACACTATTGGCAAACCAAAGCAAGCCAGGAATAAATTAATTGATGCTTGATAATTATAATATTTTTATAATGTAATAATGATACAGTCTAAACAAAATATATCTTATGATTTTTTAAAACAATTTATTTAAAATTAATACGTTTTAACATCCATGATTAAGCTTCCGCAAATTAGCATGCGGTATTCTTTTCATTATTCAACCTCCGCAAAATTTACCCCGCTTTTTACAATATTCAATTATAGCCTTTGGCTGAGGTCGATACCTGGATATATCGACCCGAGACAAGATATATTGACAGAGGACGCAGTCCGAGGTCAATATATCTTTTCTCGGGTCGATAAATCCAGGTATTGACCGGAGTCAAAGGCTACAATTGTTTTATTATTTTCAAGACAGTTATGTTAGCAATCTGAAAAAACACAGCAAAATGCTGCGGAAGCGGGACGAAAAGTTCGTTTGGAGACACGTCATTATTCTATTTTTAGAAACACCCAGTCCTTCAACAAAAATCACGCGCCCCAAGTCAATATCGGTTTTTATCGGTGGACACGTGATTCACTTCTGGCCAATCACTTGTCGGGAATAGTATGAAAAAATAATAACCTCTGTTAATTCGTTTGTTGTACTATTCAGAATTTGCCCAATTAATCAGCTTCATTTGTCCGTTTGTCCATAATTGAGTCTCTACAAATCCGTTTGTCAATTCAATAGTTCCCGGTGATCCATTCGTCTCACTAGTCCGCCCTCAAATAATCCGTCCAGCTTTCCGCCTCTACTAATCCGTTTGTCTCACTATTCAGCCTGCACCTATCACTTGGTCCAATTTTTCAGCCTCGACAAATCAGTCTGCACACTTTTCAGCCTCCACTAATCCGTTTGTCCAAATTTCCATCCTCCAAAACTCCGTTTGTTAATTATTCAGTCCCCGCTAATCAAAACAACCTGACATTTTGCATGTGTTTAGGGGATAGGTTTACAGTTTTCGTATATTGTATGTTATGTATACTTATCCTAGTAATTCAGCCAGCTTATACAAAAAAAAAATCTTCTTTGCATGCTATCCTCTGCATATTCATTCCGAAATCAGATCAGCTTCATTGAATTTTCAGATGATGCATTTGCGTATCACGATGGGAGAGATTTCTGCACAATAGGCAGCGACAATGATAACGATGCATTGGTTGACTGTGCTTTTATATCCGAAAGTGGCTGGTGGATGGACAGGTGTTCCTTTTGTAATCTCAATAGCATTCGAACCCCGATCCTGCCATCTGTCGGTAACAATAGGTTCATCGAATGGTATGATTACATACCCGGAGGATCGTACGAGACTTTAAAAAACACCAAAATGATGCTTAGGAAATGAATTGTGAATGGTACATTGCTTCTAGCCATTAAAATTGGTATGTAGAATGTTGCCAGCAAATTGTTGGACAATCCGGAAAGTGGTGTGGGAATTTGGTTTGTAACGTTAGAATAGTGCGTGGTGATTATAATGAGACATTGTCTAGCCATCAAACCTTAACTAGTTATATTTGATATATTACGGAAAGTGATACCGGAATTCGGTTTGTAACGTAAGAATAGTCCATCGTGATTATTATGAGACATTTTCTAGCCATCAAATTTTAACTAGTTAGATATTCCGGAAAGTGATACCGGAATTAGATTTGTAATGTTAGAATAGTCGATCGTGATCTTCAGACATTTTCTAGCATGTATATGCTGAGATGATAGTTTCCATTACTCGATACTTCTAACATTAGCATGAATAGAATATTTCGCTTAAAAATGTTATTTGATGAATAAAGCCAAATAGTGATTTAAGTACATTTTATAATGCAGATTTCTGTTGATACACCGAAAATTTCCATGGAATTTTTCATTGCCATTTGCAATTACAGCATACACATTAACATTGTTAATTTTAAGTGTGACGTCATTATCAGGTTTTGTAATAGTCAGCTTATTCGTCGAATGGTTCTTGTAGTTATTAATGTAAGAAAGTAATGTGAATCATAGAAATATCTCAATTATATAAGCACAGAAGTAAAAACAAACATGCAACCAGCAAAATTTTGTGTCAAATTTTCTGCCAAACACTGTATATAGGGCAATTTTCGCTACAGATTAAATTTCGCCTATTTCGCCCTCCGTATTGAGTGCGAAATTATCATTACAGCGAATATAAGTTAACAACATAATACACATAGTAATTAAAAGTGAGGGCGAAATTCACACTGGGAGAAATGTGATCTCATAAGCGAATTGCGAACGCTTGAATGGGTGAAAATTTCCCGGTAAATAGTATTTACATATCAAAACAAATACTTGACAAGGAGCATAACCATACAGTTATTTCGGAATTCACTTATGTTAAAACTGTAACAGGAAAGAGAATAGTGTGCTTCCACCGGGGATCGAACCCTCGATCTCAAGGTTCCTAGTCGGACGCTCTACCACTAAGCTAAAGCTCGAAGCTAGAAGGCGACCTTTATCCTATGTACAATTAAAACCTGCCACAAAGCATATCCGATCGCCCGATTTCTTGTTTAATACTATTTATAATGAAGAATCCCCCTACATGTAGTATACGAACATGTGTTCTGGTATTATGCGATCGTATTGAACAGAATGTTGGTTATGAAAATAGTCCGTTGTCGTGTTTTTTTTGTTTTAAGTATTTTTTTAATAATTGTGTTTTTAGAAGTTGGCGGAAATCCCTTAAAATTTGACAATTATTTGTGTTGATTTAAAGTATAGTTTGTTCTGAAATTATTTTTAATTTGCTTGCATACCGATTTAAATAATGCGTAACAAATATACATTTATTCTTTCGGAGACAGTGCCTATAATGGTCCATATGTTCGTCATTAAGAATGAGCTTCTTTGCAAGTCTGGGGGAAAAAAGGCCTGCTGTATCCCAGTTCATGGTTAAGAGGCTACTAATGTGGGCCCCTGCAGAACCAGGGGCCTTCTGTGTCTTCTGCTAAGGGACATTAATGAAACCAGCATCGATCCGTTGTTCCCATCTATCGTTTTACATCAATTTTGAAACAGATTTTATGATTTTTTATCAATCAATCTTGTTCATACAAATGTCAGCACACAGGGGTCTACATGTGGAAGGGAACCCAGCTGAAATGAAAACTCGACTTTGTAATTCTGTTATAATTCAAACTTTGAAATGAAACGTTTTTATTTTACATCAATTTTGAAACAGATTCTATGAATTTTTATCAATCAATCTTGTTCATACAAATGTCAGCACGCAGGGTTCTATATGTGGAAGGGAACCCAGCTGAAATGAAAACTCGACTTTGTAATTCTGTTATAATTCAAACTTTGAAATGAAACGATTTTATTTTACATCAATTTTGAAACAGATTTTATGAATTTTTATCAATCAATCTTGTCCATACAAATGTCAGCACGCAGGGGTCTAAATGTGGAAGGGAACCAGAGTACCCGTATGAAATCCCAAGTGGTGGGCTAAGTAACTCGATGCCGTTTTAAGTCCGATCGGAGAATCGAATCCCGTCTACCTGGGTGAAAAATTAAGTTTCTGACAAGAGTATTAAGAGGAAATTACTCGTTATTGAAAAAAAAATGGCACTTTAAATAACTCGATGTCATCCAAAAAATCCTCGCGTTCATTTATATCACCTATATGCACTCCAGAGAGTTTAATGACATTTTAATCAATGGCGACTACTAATCAGTAGGTGACGTCAATCAGCATCCATCATTATCATAGGTCATTTGTACGTTGAGATATTGATTTTGTTTTGAATTATCTGTTCGGTTTACACCACTATCAATGTGGTATTTGTGTACGGAATGGAATTGAATTTCATGAAAAGATCCTATCAGAAAAAACCTCTAATCCTGACTATGCAGATAAGTGTATTGAAATCATTAGTGTACAGGAACAAGCACTTGATATATCACTCACATTGAGGGAATATGAAACTGTTAAGTTTTAGGTATACTCTAAAACAAGGTCTGGTCTTCGTTGGGTGGGTCTGGTCCGGTCTTGTCCGATGAGACTAGACCAATAAGAACAGACAAGACCAGAATCTTAAACCCGACCAAACAAAACTAAACCAGACCATGTTTTATAGAATGCGTCAATATGATTGACTGACAACATTTCGAATACCTAAACAAATTGCACACGAATACGTTGACACATCAAATCATATTTTGAAATAATTTTATGTATATTTATGTCATATCGAACGATAAGAAAAACTAGTGCTTATGGACAAATAATAAGTGATGTAATTTTTTATAAAATATAAATTAAGCACTGAACAGAACGAAATTAGTTTACCATAATATGATGCATGAAGGTTGAGGTAGCTAGCGTAACTGAAGCGTTACCGTACCCAGGACCTCCTGCTGGAAACCATTCAATTGTAAATTACCAATCAATATGTAAATATTAATATGACACGGTATTTCATTAGTAGCCATAGTGACGTTAATGATAGTGACATAATCAAGTATGTCACTGTTATAAAGGTACATGCAATCGCCTGCATGGTTTTTTTTGTCCTTATTTTGTTGTAGGCAATTTGTTCTTATCTAAAATTTTGCCTTGTTTACCAATAAACTTCATACATATAAATAATAAAAAATCTCAAGCATTCGTGACTATTGATCAATTTTTGTATTGATCCATATACCTTCATTGAATTGACATAAACGTATTTGCTATAAGCATTCGGAAATATCTCGTGGAAACATATATACATATTAAAAGTCTATGCCCATCAAACAGTAATGGCCGATGTCTCAATGTTTTAATATAAACTAAATTCTATCTCGTATTTTACGGTAGAAATCAAATTAAAAAGATAAACACAGCCGAAGACCTGGTAAGCCCTTATTTTTATCCCTTCATTTCTTGTTTGTTTTTCGTATTGACCGTAAATATATATTTACATATATACATATTAATAGTCTATGCTAAAAGTCTATGCCTATCAAATATTAATGGACGATGTATCAATGTTTTAATATAAACTATATTCTATCTCGTATTTTACGGTAGAAATCAAATTAAAAAGATAAACACAGCCGAATACCTGGCTAGTCCTTATGTTTATCTCTTCATTTCTTGTTTGTTTTTCGTATTGACCGTAAATACATATTTTCGATTAGTGTACCAAAAAAAACAAAAAACGAAAAAAACGAAATGTGAAATAAAGTGTACCGGAAGTGTTTACGTTTCTGTAACACACACCACGCAAAGCACCATTCATTATGTCTATTGCTAAATCAATGGAGTTCTTTTTTTCACACGAGTCTGTGACAAACGATTGCTTTACACATGATTTGACAAAAAGAATGATCGCAACCAATAAGAAGAGTACACACTGGAACAAGCGAAGCATAACGGTATGCTAATTGATCGGTCCTTCCTTTGCGAAAACGCTTTACCATCCAAAACCAACTTCCGGAGCTTGTTTACATCCTCGGCTATGATGTTCTATGGAATGATATTAGCTGGCGGATTAAATTAACAAAAGAAGAGAGGAGAGTCAGTTGCTAGAAATCAAGGATAAGATTATTGATTAAAATCTACATTATAAGCCTAATCCAGGCATCACTTCTTCAGAAAACACATTCTGTTATTATCCTGATGTGTATGATTGAACGAAAACTCTATCAGGATATGACATTAGGTTTGTGGGTTTTCATTTTGACGAAATATTTCTACGCACCAACAGACACATACAAGCACTTCTATTTTCTCTAAACCTTAAACCGCAATGTTGATGGCATTCCTAAGCACATCACTCTGCGAAATAAAAAAAAATAACACATCACACACGACTGACTCAATTAAACCCACAACACAATAAAAACACTTATTAAGCACTTTTAACCTCATGTTTCTTGTACTAAAATACAGATACAAACTATATACATGTAATCGAATATTACGCTACATCGCAAGTCCCTAACTAGGCGTGATGTTTAATAGAAGATCAATAAATAAACTGAAATATCTTCAATAAGATTCACATGCTTTTACTTGTGCTTAAACACAATCAATGTACGTATTCCGTCTTTGCGTATTGCAGAGTTATCCTCTCTTGAGAGCAGGTATTGGTTGTTACGTCATTGGTTCGTGTGAGAAAATTACGTCGTTTTCTCAAAAAATGTTGACGTTACTCTCACAAACAAATGACGTAACAGTCAATATCTGCTCTCAAGAGAAGATAGCTCTGCAATACGCAAAGACGGAATTAAACCTGTCGTAACGTTTCAAGACCGTCTGGTCCCTGTGTCTTTCAGTCATAACTTGACAAAGGGACCAGTTGGTCTTGAAACATAACGACACGTTTATTACGTACATCGTTTGTGTTTAAAGTAAAACTTTGATGATAAAAATAAACGTATTTCATTTTATTAGTGTATACATATTACGTAGGCAGCTCCAGTAGTCATTATTAGTAGAGTTAAATGTTAAATATTTAAAAAACATTATGATAATATAACAGATCTCGAATCACTTTTCGAAAAAAGTCAATATCTCTACAATTCTAAACTCTCTAAACACTGTCTGTCTGTTCAAAAAGATATAACTAAATCATAGCCACTTTTACAATGTATTCAAGTTGACGTTTGTCTTTTACCTTTTCGCTCGTTTGATGTTTTTCCTTTAACATGTTTTGCTTACCTTTATTTGCCCTAATGACCTCTTATGTGTTGACGGGCCGTTAAGAATATAATAATAAGAATAATTAATATTAAATATAATTTACTGGAAATGTTAGATAACCTGATATATTAAGGTCATAAAAAATGCATTATATCAATGATTAAAACATAAGTTCATCGTTGACAAAGGGCGACAACTTGGTCATTCATAAACACACCACTGTCGTCATACCACTCGCAGGGACAATGGTACAACATGTATTAATATGAGGGATTTACAAGGATAATGCCGACATCTCGCATTATTTTTTGCATTCTCCTGCTATTCAAAAGGTTGAACACAACTTCGTGATTCCGTACGATAAAATCATTCTTCACTAACAACAAAACATACTGGATTAGACAAAACAGACGTTCCATAACACGATCTTTTATGGAAATGAAAGCATTGAAGATACTATAGGATGTCCTTATGTATTGGTGGAGTCAGGTTTCATTGTATTATTGAATTGTATGCATGACAGTAATATTTATCGTTATCAAGATCATACACAATAAACTGACTGTCTAAAGTCATTGAAGCTGACTCAATAATATAAAGTCATCAAAATTTCTTCAGAAATGTTGTAGAAGTTGTAAGAATGGGTATTCCGTCTTTGCGTATTGCAGAGTTATCTTCTCTTGGGAGCAGGTATTGATTGTTATGTCACTTATTTGTGAGAGTAACGTCATCAAATTTTGTGAAAACGACGCAATTTTTTCGCACAAACCAATGACGTAACAATCAATACCTGTTCCCAAGAGAAGATAACTCTGCAACTTTTTTTTGTTCCTCATCTACTATGCGTATGATATTAGTGTCTTGTTTCAGACTTAAATAGAGTAAGGAGGTATCTGAAACAATTGTAATTCTGAATTGGTATCTCATATGTTCAAATAATTAAGAGAATGCTAAAAATGCAAAAGCAAAGAAAACAAAATGTGTGAAAATTGAGAATCTGTGACTGAAATATAATGTTTTATGTGTAATGTGAAACCTTTAAAAAAAGAAAAAGAAAAAAAAAATGTAAAACAAAATATGATAACAATAAAGTAGGGTATTAGTTCCCCTGTGATATTAACACGATATTGACTTTATTGTTGTTGGGTTCATATTGCCTTTCCTTTTGTTTTGTTGCATCCTCTGATCATGATGCCATCTTTACAAAGTCATTTTGAATTTAGATTTTGTATGAAAAATTGACGACTTTTTTATATCTTAGACAAATAATGTATCATTTTCGAAACATTTAAACACAAAATTGCATAAACCTCTTATCCAATTTCGGATAGCTCTTTATATTAATAAATAAATATACAACATTTGATATAGCGCCCTATCTAGCTAACATAAGCCACTCTAAAGCGCTTTTCAGTACATAGATATACAATTAATACAATCACATATACATTAATCAATACAATGTTTGAGGAATTCGCAGGAGCTGCCTTATCAGGCGCTAACTACTAGTCATTTGTCACCTTGCTAATGTCTCCCTATGTGTGTATAACCGTGTGTGTGCTGGAGATGTGATGTGTTCTGTTTGTAGTTGGAACGCTTCCAACGGAATCATTTATAGTGCCACCTCACTTAATTGCTACAGCACAGATACCGCAACATCCAGCTCAGACCATTTTATAATCTTCCTGGGTTGTTGGGGTTGTGTGGGCAGGTGGAAAACACTTTCTTTGAATATTCATGCGTACGACGACTTTGGGGATCGAACCCCGGCCGACTGCGTTGAAGGCCGGAGTGTTAGCCACTCGACCAATCCGCCCATTCTAAATTAGTTTTTTCCTATACTTGAAATATGGCCATAACATGTTTCGTATAATCTTAAAGATATAAAATTTACAAACATCATGATAAAATTCATATAAAACATTACTAAATTGAATATACAGGTAGGTTTCTTATCAAAAACATTAGTATATATTGTCTTGATACCTCAATACAAATGTGTACTTATTACAACAGGAAGTTCGTATTTCGGATGGAAACACCCTACCTGATGACACTTACCTCTGTTCTTTATAAAACACGCTCTCATTATAGCGTTTTTGTCAAAGCTCTTATTAAACTTAATTAATTATTTAAATTTTTATTAATGTTTAAAATAAAGATTAAAAGTATGGAATTTTCTGTGGATACTGGAAATTTTCATTTTAGTGTAAAGTTCCCTTTAAATAACTACATGAAATCATCAATGCATTATGTCACTGCGTTTGGAATTCTTTTGTTTGCGATTAGTCATGTATACATAATTATATCTGACCTATACCCATCCCAAATGTATATTTCGAATTTTAAAACGATTGATGAATATAAAATGAGACATTGCCAAGACTAAGTTCATTCGCAATGCTCGGCGTTGTTACCTGAAACAATCATAAAGTTTTTTTTTATTTGTTAACATGTAGTTGTTGATTGGTCATAGGCGTGGATCCGTCATGTGCAAACTATGTAGGTCAGTGCACATCAAAACAAATATATAAGCTCTATTTTTAGATATCACGCAACTAAATATTTCTTAGTGCGATTACTACATTGTCGATTTGTATATAAATGCATATCATGTTTTAACTATACACTTGAGTTTTGAAGTTTGAACACTATGGATAGGTGTACAATACATCCAGGAGAAAAGATACAGTTAGTCTGCAAGGAATGTGAAGATAAGCCAGTATGTAATACCTGTATTACAACTCGCCATTCTGGGCACAGTTTTAGGAAATATTCCAAAGTGAAGGAGGAAAAGCTAAACGAGGTAAGGGAAATGAAAGAAGAAAATACAAGGACTAAACAGAAATTAGAGCTCAATCTTAAAAAGTTAAGGAAAGAAATTACAAGGCAGAATGAAAGCAAAAACAGAATATCTCGTGAAATAGAGAACCGCACTAAAGAGTTAAAAAGACAGATTGACAAACAAGGAAAACAAGTTGAAGAAAAGTTTCGAAACCAGCAGGAAAAACATATGGCTGTTCTACAGAAAAATAACGAGCGGCTTAAACGAGAAATTAAGAAGTGTACACAACATGACATAGAATTACAAAGACTACTTAGTGCTGAAAGGATCTCTGATCTAACCACACAATTAAAACTAGTCACAGCTCCAGCTGCTGATGGCATTGCAGTTTCGGACATGTCTTTATCGTACAAATTTGTTCCTGGCAAATGTAATCCCTCATTAGACATGTTTGGAGATATCGAAAAAGATACAGAGGACCACTACGACATTATAGGGCTTCCGACACATGCAGCGGCTGTTGCGCAACCGACAGAAAATGATGACGGTGCGTATGCTAGTATGACGCCATCTAGGTGTAGTTCTGTCTCACTGACGTCAGAAGCAGCCAGTATTGCAAGTCTGGGCGAAAATGGAAGGGCGGAAACCGTTAACAACAGACCAAGTCATCCATCCACTTTTTCAGATCGAACAAGGATGAAAAGTGTGCCTAGATCAAACGCGGCGTACATAGTTCTGTCCGCTAACCAAGATCAGTGCTGGGTGAAATGTCAGGACAAAGACGTAGTCACACTTGTCAACAGGTTTGGAAAAAAAGAAGACACATCAATTGCATTTTCTGATAGAATTGGAGGATTTTCAAAATATCGGAGTAATGAATTACTTGTGTGTTTGCCAGAGAAGAAAACGATCCGGCTGGTGGATAAGTACAGTGCTAAAGACTTCATCAACACAGCACCATCCATACCGAGATGCGTGCAATCTGGTCTCTTCGATGGCGAGATCTTCGCCATTGTGGATGATCCTGGTACTTCCCGAGTAACCACGAGAAGCGAACTGGTCCGGTACAACAACAAAGGAGAAGAGATTAGACGAATAAGGAAAGACAAGTTAGGGAATGATCTATTCTACAGTCCAGATAAAATATCTTTCAACAGAACAGGGACTAAAATGGCCGTGATCAACCCTTGTGGTGCAGAAAGCTCGCACCTGCTCATCTTAAACAAGAATTTAGAACCGTTGTGGCGCTACTTCGGTGATATGAGGGCGGTCGAAGGAAACACAAAGTTCGACCCCAATCTTTTACAGAGCGACACGAATATGTGTCTGTCAGACGTTGTGTTCGATAACAAGGATAATGTCGTGATAGCAGATAAAAAGACAAATACTGTGAAAATGCTGAACCAGAAAATGGAACCCGTACGTATTGTAGGCACCTACACCGAGTCACCGATCGCGCTCGCCATGGTTCATCACAATCAAACGCTGTGGATAAAATTTGACAGTGGGAGACTAAGTGTTATCGACCGTAATGCGCCGCCGTGAACCAGTAAGGCAGATAAATTAGTTTGTCTAATGTCATTATCTTGGTACAATTTTGAACTGAAAAATAATCAGACTATGTACGTGGTGGTAGAGAACTTAAGACATGATTTGTTTCCATTCGCTTGACCTAAAGTACCATGTATGAGTCGTAAAATATCCATATGATGAAGTATAATATTTACTTGGTTTGGCTTTCAGCATCTTCAAACAAAATTTCAAAGTTGTCTTCGTTTTTCCAGCGGTTATTATTTCATAACACAGTTTCATGCTTGTTCAGATTAAGAATTAGCATTTCCAAAATATAAAAACTGACATCAAAAATCATTTAAACATTTTGATGATCAAAATCTTACAAACCCAAGTTTTTACATTATTTATGTTATTTATTATATTCAATTATAATATTAATATTAATATAAGACAAACGAACTTTATCAGGAACATCTATTATGAGTGTATACGTGTCTATTGTTAAATTACAAAAATAAAATGTTTGGTAATTGCAGTATATTGTATTATACAATGTAATCGTTATTTTAACTTGTATCAATAATACAATGCATTGCACTATTATCATAATTATGTACCAATATACGTGTTCAGTGTAAAATTGGCGATCAATGCTTGATTTAGTCTAATTTATAATCATTATTAAATAAATCATATCAATAATGTTACACTAGTATCATAATTATACAACAGACTGTTAAAAGATGTCTTTCATTAACAAATGACAATTGTACAAGGAGAGCTCTGTTTATCAAATTTATCAAATACTAGCTACTGTAATAAGTTATTATTTTTATCTCGTTTTTTTTCATTTTTTATTTTATTTTTATTTTGTATACATTTCTTTTTTTTGCAGATTGCATTGCTTTAAAGATCGAACTGAATATGTTAAATTTGTTAATATCTAAATGGAAAAGGTGCCGGTTGTGTTTGTAATTCATAACAAACATTATTTTTGATTGAAGTTTTTTGATCATTTATCGCATGGAACATTTTATTCCAAACTTTTCGGGGGGTGGGATTGAACATGGAATGTGGCAGTTAAGTTATAACTGGCAAATAACTGCTTCAATATCACTGCTTCAATTTATCATTTGGGATACTCACTTCTATTTATAGATGCATGCAATTAACAGTAAACTTTTAAATCAACCGGAAATTTTCAATGCTGTTTGTTTCAGCGTTAAAATGGTTTTCCAGAAACAAATTCCACACAAACAGTTCTGTGAATGGCATTCATAAGAGTAAACATAACATTTAAAAATAAACTGTAATTTTTCATTTATCATTAAGTATTATGTAAGTTGCCAGCTAACAAGCTCAATCAATTGTCTGCATAACCTGTGTGATAGTATGGTAGAGGTAAGGCACTCCGAATGAAACGATTGTGCTCCACCTGCTAGACCAACAAAGGACATATCACACGATACTGTTGTTTCATTGTTTTACTTATCTTTACTATAGACTGTTTGCGTGTGTATCGGTTGTAAAACATATGGTCATAATGACATTTACATTGTGAGGTGTAATTAAGCCATGCTTGGGTGTAAGATCATAGCATGTTGTCTATGCATTAAAAGGTACGCGTGTGTGTGCATTTGAGTAATGACAGTTTATGACCATTTACACCTTTTCATTTGTTAAGGCTCATCAAAATCTGTAACAATAGTGTGTGTGTATATACGAACTAAATTAAGTTCCATTGATTTGTAAACATAGCCGAACCCAAAAAGAAACAGCTTGACATTTAAACCTTGCCCTATTACTGTCGAAAATAGAAATTGAATTATTATCAGATAGGTAATGATTAATTAATTATCGATTACTTCTTTCGTGGGGTATATTTATCACTCCAATATCTAAATTAAATAGATAAGGATTGAACCTTTCTGATACAATATAACGTGACAGTATGGTATAATGACTTTCTTTTTTACCTGAATTTTAAACGGAAAATCTCGGCTGGCGAATGTGCAGCTTTTTCACATCAGCAGTAATAATTCATTACATATTTGTCTTTTACTGTGAACATTATCTTGCCAATGACAATCGTGATTTAAATTAGATTTCGAAGAAGTATTTTATACACCTAAATGTTGAATGTTTAATACCTCTATTACAATTTAGTAATTGTATTACATTGAAACGTGTCTTAAGGATGCCTGACCCAGAGCAGAGCAGAAATCTATAAAATCCTGCCGATGGTTTTTCCCATGCAAACAGCTACCTCCCGTTGATTTTGTTTTCGTTAGAACTGTAAAAGAGCTACCGCTGACCACGTAGACCATTTGGTTAGAGCGACCGTATTTATGATAACAGATCCAGTGTTCGAATCCGGGTCTAGCTTCGCCCCAGTTTTTTTCAACGATCACTATCGATAACTTTATTTTTTTAATCTGTAGTATATTTCATATGGTGGTGTGGGATCCTTAATCTTTCGCTTCAGTGATCAACTATTCATTCAGTATATACGGGCTGTCGGATAAAACAGGTCCCTGTTATATATACAAGGCATATACTTGTAAAATGCCTTACTTATACTGTTTCTGGAGTTTGCAGGGTTCTATTTTGGACAGTAAACATAAATATATTTCAACATAAAGGTAAATTTACAGCCAGTGTTCAGTCATCTAATTTTTTAACATTGCCTGCTGCATGACAGAAGCATAACTTGGCCTTAATAAAAAATAGTCAAAATTTCTAAAAATATATATCATGATTAAGGTATCTATATATCATGATATAGAAATGTGTGTAAAACTTAGTTTTCAAAATAGTAATGACTTCATCTTAAATTCTTCATCTTAAACTTTTTAAACATTACGTAAGTTTTTAAACTGGCCTATTAATAATGATAACACAAGGATCGTGTTTAAAGCTATACAAGCTGTCCGCCCTTTGAATTTTCTTTTGTTCTATTTTTATCTCATTGTATTGTTATACTACAAAGGCGATATTCAGAGAACTGTAAGGTCTGGTGTTGATACAATCATGTTGGATTTAAGTACACGAATATCATGCTCTAAATCTTGTCAAGCTGGTAGGCTATAGATGTGACGATACAAATGATAAGTACGATATTTATACATACTAATAACTGCTAATTTTATTACACGTATAACAAATGTCATAATTAACTATAAGGAGAAACACAATTTTGTTTACATGGATCATACAAAGCTCACGATGTTAATTTATTATAAAATGATATAGATAAATAATATATAAATATATTTATATTATTTATATATAAAGTGTAATTGTGATATATGACACTCAAATAAACAATAATAACTTGACTTGACTTGGTGATATTTGACGTCGGTAAAAAGTGTTCAGTTCATAATTACAGTTTTTGACATAATTAGACTATAATAATACTAAACACTAAATAGCACACTATGACTTCTTATAAAACTAAAAACATGAGACATGAACTTAGTTATACATCTACAGAATAACCTAGGTCCAATCTGTACTAATCCATTACATGGATTTAGAGATCAACATTTTATAAATGCATTGAAAATTTGGAGAAAATTACATTAAGTGCAAAATAACATTCATCAGATTCTTGTTCATTTTCATATTAATATAACACTTTAATTTTTAGGCATACACGGATGAACAAAAACAGCAGGATTGTAAATTGCTTCTTTTTTTTTTATAAACCATTAACATATTTCTGTTACCATTTGTTTATTGTTAAATCTGTTAAAAATAAATATATAGAACAGTATACAACATACTTCTTAGTTGTCATTCAGTATCTTGGGCACGACTTTCACTGACATTTTGTTTTTGTTTACTTTCTTAATTGTCAATCTATTACTTTTAGTTATCATTTCCACAGACTTGCTGGATTTTCTTAAGTTCAATTGTGACGCTGTTAAAATAAATTGTGCGTGAAGAAAGATAAAGATTATCTTTCTCTCCTTACACTAAAATAATTTTCTGTAATGCGGTTTTTGAGATATCAGGAGATAGTTTCGGGATTAAATTTTACTTTCAATTTTTGGTAGAGAACGAATTCGCCTCCAAGATTATTTTCTGGTTAATAACTCTCAATATTTCGAAAACTGTCAAACGAAAAATGCTTCAAAAATTGTTAAAGAGAGAATAAAATAGACAATTTCCTTTCAAGATGAAAAATGTTTGTTCAATAGCATTACAATTTACTTCATGAAAATTCGTTTTAAAAAAAAAATAATACATGAAATGTAGAACGAACATATTCAATTAATTTTACACGTGACTGTATAAACCTTTTTATACCAAGGGGTGACGTTCTGTATTTTGGCAGACAACTAGCTAGAATCATATAATGATATAAAGGTATTCAATTAATGTTTAGTCCAATTTAAGTATCCTCCACAAACCGTATATATATACACTGCACGTGGATATCACCACTAACGAACAGTATTGAATGAATAAGTTGATTTGTGTTTTGATAACCAGCTGGCTATATGATCGTATTTAAAAGACTGATATGAACAGATTATATATATATACTGTATATAAACCTTGTAATTAAAAAAACAGTTAGTTTGTGGAATTAATAAATCCATATTTTATACACGTACCAATAAATATATCATTAACATAATTTTGCATTATAGAAATTGACACAAGATAACCGAGGAAAGCAGAAATATAACAATGTTCAATTAACAAGAGGCCCAGAGGGCCTGTATCGCTCACCTGGATACCAAAGCAATCATGGCAAAATATTCTCCGAATGAGATCAAGGGAATATGCCAGACCCCAAGACCAATCCTTGTAGCATATCTGTATTAGATTCTTCATGCCCAGCAATTTTATGTATGGTTATTGGGTGGAGATCTCAACTGTTTCCAATCTTTGACTCAGAAACTAGGTCCCTAGGGTTGTGGCCAAACCCCAGGATCAATTCTAATATCGTGACTGCATTTGTCTCTTTTTGCCCAGCATTTGTATATATAGTTTTTGGGTGGGGATCTCAACCATTTCAAAGTTATGACCCAAGGGTTAAGTCTGCAAGGGTGGGGCAGACCCTGGGGTCAATTCTAATTACAAGACTATGTTGAAAATTGCTTAAGACTTAAATATTCTGAATTCACAAAATTACTACGGCATTGCCTACTAATTTGCCATCACATCTTCCAAACGCCATGGGCTGAGTTTGTCAATTCAGAATCAAGAACGATTCAGCAAACACCTCTTTTGTTTCTGCCTTGTCATCTATACCTAGGTAGCAATATATCGCTTCTTCTCTTCACACTAACACAGTATATATACCAAAATTACACTTTACTTTTCACAAGACACCGTTGTTAATCCAAACACATAACGAAACTGACTTTCCTGTAACAGCGACTGTCTTACATTGAGGTAGGCGAGTCCGATCCAACTATTCTCTTGTATCTTTTCCATTGTTACTTAAGAATAACTATGTTCGATACCGCATGAGTGACACCTACAACCAAACAGTAAGATTATAGTATACTGATGCTGGAGACGTTATCAGAAGTCAGAGGTCAAATATTGACGTGAAACTTTTATATAACAAGAAAAATGTGCAAAACATGTCTCTAATAGAGGTTTGGATGACTTGGGAAATCAACTTGGACACAAATTTGATTAAAAAAGAAATATCATCTTACCTTGCTTGCTACTTTAGTACTTTTACTCTCCCGTCATCCAGACCAACCCATATATCACCCAACTCACTCACAGCTGAAACATTGAAAATTGATTAAAAAGGTATAGAGATTAATTTATTTGACCTGTTGAAAGATTACCACTTTACATGGAAATGTGTTAGCTAGTATATACGTAATATAACTTTAATGACATTTATTCTAATCAGATTTGTTTATTTCAAGCTGTGACAAATGTGTTTAGACATTAGCCTACTGGTTACATCGCAACCGATCAATGTGATATGTTTTTTCTTACAAGACACTCATTTCTTTGTGGATACTGACCGACAGACCAGGGTATGTGGATTTCCTGAAGAATAACCTGCAGCAGCTGGCAAGAGGGGTCAAGAATTTGGACAGTTCTGGTGTGGGACTCGGCGAACACGATGTTATCAAAAGAGTCAAAGTCAATATCATTGATGTAAAATTTCTTTTGGCGTCTATGTAAACTATGTTTCTTTTCCCCGGGAATAGAACGGCCATCACCAAAGAAACATAATTTTAGCTTAAAGCTGCCATCCAAAAGAACAAGATGCGCGGATTCTTCACTAGTTTCATTTACAACGGCGACTACGTTACCATTGGTTGTTAGTCTGACCTGACCAGGCAAAACAAAGAGGTTGTCGCCGAACTTATCGAATTGAGCGCGAGCGACCTCTTTGCCTGACTCCGTGTATCGGGCGAGTATTCGCTGGCTTTCATGGGAGACGTCGTGGTGCATTCTATCTACAAGGGTGAGCAGGAAGTCCCCTTTGAGCGTTGAACAAACGTAGTTCGGTTTCAGATTCCCTGTGCTGTAGGTGGCAGTCGCTTTGTAACTTGGAGGTGAAAGCTTCTTCACACAGCGTGCATCGAAGCAGCAGACGAGAATCCTCATATCGGCAGTGACGGCTAGTCCACGAATCAAAGTTCCAAAACGGAGAATACGTTTGATGTAACCGGCTTTGTCGGTCAACCGGATCTCGTTCTGGCCTGCACATTTCACCCATGCATGACCAGGATTAGCAGTACATACAGAGCTGATCCCCATACTGGCAGAATGCTTGAAGGTGGATAACACCGCGATTGCTTTCTTTTTGTTGATTGAAATAGTGGAAACGGGAGAACTTGGAGTTCTGTCATTTTCGTGATGAACTCCGTTTTGTTCTATAGGTGGAAACTTTGAATGGACTGTAGACATGTCGTCATTTTCGTGTGTTCGCACCGATGCAGGAATGTCGTGCCATGGGACGATTAGAGTGTCTACCGGATCGGTTACCAGAGAGCCCAGCATCTGTTGCAAAACACTGGCGTCCATTGTCCCTGTGTAGAACTCAAGAGGCTTTGGAATGTGCCGAGATTTCCGTCGCGTGTAGGACGATTTCAGATTCTGAGAGCCACGTATAAGATCAATATCGTTTTTGGAAGTCACAATTCGTTTCAGTTTTTCGTCTTCGGCTTCAACTTGAACTAACTGTTCAGATACAGCCGATTCGTGTTCTTTAAGTAGGGCTAGGTTTCTTAGCTTTTGCTTCTCGCATATGTTCATCACATAAACAGATATTTCGTCTATGGCTTTGTGCATGGCATCTCTTTGTTGCTTTATCTTAGTAGCGGCGGTTCTCGCACACCTTAATTGATCTTTCTTCGCGTAGATAATACTTTGCAAATCAGAACGTAATTCTCGTATGACATTGGTGAAATTCGAGCACTTTTTTCGAATGTCTTTCCCAACCTCGTCAAACTTTCCAAATGTGTGCCCTTTGTGATCGTTAGTGGCACACTCCAGACACACGAACACATTATTACACGTAGTACAGATCATTACCACCTTGGAGTCGCGGTGCTTCTGACATTCCATATTGACTGCCTACGGTTTCTCGTTCCCAAATTATTCGTACTTTCTCACGTTGAGAAATTATACGCTTCTGTTGAAATCTCTCACGTAATGTTAATTCTCAACTCACTGATTGGCACTCACATATCTTATTCGGGGGGAAAAGGTCCCTTCCGACATTTTGATCGAACGAAGTCTAACTAATTCCAGCTCCAAATAATATCCGTCCATTGATAGTTATGATAGCAACAGTAACGAGGGTACGATCGTACCTTGCATACACCTCATGTCATATTATAATGTTCTATTCGAACGTAATACAAAACTTCAATATTAGGCGTGTCAATCAAACATTGAGACTAATTCAGAGCTAGTTTCGATGTAACTGGATCTATCATTGTTCATGATTAGAACCTACCAACGAAATAATTGTTACACCTGTAAAATCAACGAATGCTGCCAACAGTTAAAATTATAACGTTTCATTATATTTCAAAATGTAAACACAGTTTGAGTTTTTATTAGTAACATTCAAAGTCTTTCTTTATTAAGTTGAATGACTTAAACCACCGTAGAGGCCATACATTATCGAATTATGAGTAACATGGTGGATAGCCACGAAGCGTGGTCCTCTGTATTGTTGACTGGTGTGACTATAGATAATGCTATCGTTGATCGTCGTCTGGCAGGTTGTTCGGGTGTGCGGGGGTCATTAGCTAAAGCACTGGTGTGTCTATGCCTGATATACAGCACACCAGAAGGCTTGGTCACCTTATATAGCGTATCCAAGTCATTGGGATTATATACATATAACATAAGTATGCAGATCTCTGCACAACATTTTCATCAAATTCATTTTATTACCTATATATCGTATCATAATTGTAATTGTAAACATGTCTATGAAACGAACGTTTAACAGTTTTTCCTGACAATGCATTTATTAATTAAAATTAGCAAACTCGCACAATCATCGAACCGTTATGATAATTACAGAGCAGAACTCGGTATAAATAATTGAAAAAGTCTAATTAAGTTTTTCGTTGCCAATTACTGTCATCTATGGCTGGGAGGATTTATTTACCGTCCTGTAGACAATCAAATATACAAACTGAGCAGTAATTTTTCTAATCCTATATGCCATAGGGCTTTACCAAAGGGGCTTCAGAAACAAGCGTTATTGAAGGTTAAATGATGTTAATGAAAAATATTTCAGATGTATGCACACTTTCTAGTTTTAGAGGGGGAAAAAACTTAAATCTTTTTATTTTAGTTTAATTTAACTAACGTACAATGTATAACTGGAATATATCCAAAGTCGAAAGAATTATAGCTACATGAAATGCATGTTTTTTTCAATTTGTATAGCAATAACATTTTAATATTATTTATGTTGTGCCAAACTTGGTTTTGGTTAAATTATAAACATAAAAGTGATGTATTGAAAAGTTTCATTAATTGAGTGTTATTGCTGCAAGGAATTTTCATAAATGTGTTTCAAGTAAGCTATCTGAATTATTTAAATTGAATTTATATACCTATTACAAACGTCTCATATACTGTGAAATTAATTTTTTTGGTGGGTTTCTAATTTCTTATATTTCGACGGCAATCTCCATCCACGAATTCATATGTCCACGAAGTAATTACACGTTTGATTGAAAGCAATTCTCCGTTTAGGGTACTCGTAATCTACGAATTCATGTAAATGGTGTTTATGACGTGAAACCAAGAAATTTGGACTCACGAAAATATCCGATTTCACAGTATTTGAATTAATCCATTTGCAAAAGTAGCACATTTCAAAATATGTAATGACATGAATTGATGACATGCGCATTGTTTATTCATCAAAGCATGCTCAGTAGCGGGGATGACCGTCGTTAGTGGCACGTGAAATCAATGTCGTTATGCAAATGTTTAAAAAAAGGAATGCAATTTACATTATGAAATCAGTCAACCTTTCGCGTGAATATTCCTGATGGAATCGAATAGCAATAAAACTGCTTCGAAGTTGAACAGGTTCACAGTACATGAAAAATGTATATTTGAATATATGTATACATGTACTAATTAAAGTATTGTCTTTTACAAAAACAAATGTTGTTGTGAAATTGAAAAATAAAAACAGATTAGAAACTTGGCTTTCAATCAATATATGACCACGCACCTACAGACGATGGGTTATGTTAACTTTTCTATAAAACGCAGCTCACCTCTGCAGGTCGGGGATCTAGAAAAGAATACAACTGCTAGTCTGTGATATACTTAAAATCAAAGAAGAAAACCCCTTTTTTCTCGAACAATATATAACTCGAACACCAAAATACTTTTTGGAAGTAGCCTGCCCGACAGACTAAAATATGCCTGTTGAACCTCTGGAATGTATGGGTGCGTTCGCTGTTTACCCCTGTACGCTGTTGTACGCCTCGACGGCTTAAACTTTCTTTGCGCTCTGCATTCCGCTTTCCACATTTTCTTTTCGTCGTCAGAATTATCTGCTATTGGGTTCGTCTCATACTCGAACACAGTTCTCCATCTTAATTCTGAGCAATCTGCCAATTTTATAAGTTTTTGCCTCCGTTCTGAAATTGCCATGCCTCCTCATATCTTCTCCAGCGCATGCTCGTTTGCATTCTCTTACACAGCGACCTCTGCCTCTTTTATCTTCTGTCCAACTTTAGCGTTCACTTTGAACTGAGTTTCTTTTCGCATTTTGTTGAATTTATATGCCTCCGTCGATACTAGTTCTAGGTCCACTTGTACTTCACTCAGAGCCTTTTGGCTCTCGTACATCTACTGCTGGAAATTTGATAAATTCAGAAGTCAGTTGGTCCCCTAGTCTGCTAAGCATAGCGCCCTGTGACTCCTTGACTGTGTTTTCCACAACCGCGGTGATTTCTCTTGGGTCCATCTTCAAACGATGTTCTGTCGTGCGGGTCTCTAGCTAGAATGACCTGTACTCCAATTCATCACGTGTACCTTCACACAAAGCTCGTGCATCTTGCCGCTACTCATGAATATTCATGCATGCTAATCTCAACTTTCGAACCTCTCAGACATATATTTCCTGCTATACTGCGAAACGCAGAAAAAATTCATTACCGACTACATGTACCGTAAGAGGCGACTAATGTGGGAACCCCCCGCAAAATAGGGGATTTGCTTTTGTGTCCTCCACTTGGGGACACAAAAGCAATGCAATATTTGTGATCTTTATATTTCTCTCGAGTTATTACTATCTGTTATTTCCTAACGCCTTGCTTAGCAACACCTCACTTTTGGCGTTCGCCAAGACAATGGGTTCTGTCGCCTGGCCGAGACAGTGTTATACCCTGTCTCCGGTACACATACACACATGCACGCCTACACAACACGCACAGAGCCACGTTCTTAACCCTTTCACCACTAGTACTGTAGACCATAAAGGACTCGTCCAGATCAATGCATGATAGAGTCTACTAAAGTTACATAGGGGTGAAAGGGTTAAATGACCTTAGCTGTTAGTAGGACGTTAAACAAAACCTAACCAAACCAGTCACACAGCTATATAGTGCAGTGTAATTCAATTTAGCTTACTGTATTACTAAATTGTACAGGTGTAAACACGTGTGTGTGTGGGTGGGTGGTGGGTGTGTGTTACGTTAATCTTTCTAGATTTCCAACTTTTTTTTGCCTCAAGATTACCCGATGTGTCATAGGAGGACGACTCAGCTGTATGGGACAGTGATTTTCATTTACAGGTACACATGTACTAGCCTCGTCTGTCCATACACCCAATATAGTTATGGGTGTATTGACAGCCGAGCCTAATACCTGTTTTTCATTTTTGGCAAGCTGTGTCTATCAGAAATGGTATAGGCGGAATCACATGTGTGCGTCTTGCGTTCTTTCAGCGTGTGCCTGAGCTATTTGAACTCACAGGGACATGCGGATCTGTTACAGTTATATTCGGACCTAAACTAAGGTGTTCAGAGTAATTTTACACGTTTTAGGGGTTTAGATCAAATTTCGGTAAAAAATGCCACGCCCAATGATGATAAATAAAAATATCATACGAGTATAAATATCATCCTTGGGGTGCCATTTTTCCGAAAGTTTATCCAAACCCCTGAAACGTGTAAAATTACTCTAACTACCTTAGTTTTGGTCCAGATATAGCCGTAGTGTAACAAATTCTCAGGTCCCTGTGTCTGAACTGTGTCGTCAGTCATTGCAGATACTTAAAAAGTTGGAAGATGGAGGTGAAACAGTATCAGTGCTCCCTCCCGAACATTATTTTCACCAAATTATGCACTTTTTTTTATAGAAACACTTAGAGCCTTCGGCTTGAAAGAACTCCCTCTTAACACACACATCCAGTCTTTCATATTCCGGTTGAATAATGTACGCATAACAAAAACCGTATATCTTTTTGAGAGAAATATCATGAAATACATATATCTTGAACATTTTCGTCACCTTAAATCCGTTTATATGTAATTTTAGATACGTCTACTTGTATTGGCCCTAATAGCCTCTATGGTGTTAATGGGTCGTTAAAATCCAATAATTATAATAGATAAGTAACGGAGTATATTTCAGTTTGAAATATATATCTATTTAGACGCAATCATAATTACTACAATATATTATGTGTGAGTTCAAAACTGTTTCATATACGTGACTTATAGAATACAGTAAGTAACCGGATAGTTTCATTCGATATCGATCCCTGCTACCAATATAGGTTTGACCGTGGGAATCGGTAGTACACCCGTAAGAGGGTAACGCTACAAAGCCAAACAGGGGCTATACCTATATATATCAATATGTAGTGTAATTATAATACATAGTTTAAAGGGTAATATATAGTCTAATAATACTACGATCTGATCATATGTAATCTTATGTTAGGTGATAATGATATTCGACAATCACTTGCTTAGCAGGGTATTCAGATAGCCCCCTGATTATTTTCCTTAATATATATATAATAATAATAAACTAATGCTAAAAAGCATGCTTGTTAGAAAAAATCATTTGGTCTATATATTACTCTAAATAATATTAATCGATTTAATATACATATACGTTTATATATATTATCAGACTATAAGGGCAATTCTTAGTGTGATTTTTTTTACTTGTTGGCTTATTGTTATTGCGAATTTCCTTTACTTATCTGAAACATTTGTTTCATAATGTTGTTTTTTCATGAACACTGACTATTGAACACACTTAAAAACCATCTG